AACACTCCCTAGCCTGAAGCCCCCTCCCCAAACCAGCATTCTCTTCTCCTGCATCCAAATTACCTCCCTGAGCTTGCACTTCTCACCCCTTCCCACACCCAAATCCCTCATTCCCACCCCAGAGCCCACACCTCCTCTCTCAACCAAGTGAGAGCGTATATAATGGCTGGGGATAGCAAGTAATGGAGAGGAGGGGAACAGAAAGGATGGGGCCTCAAAGGGGTGGGGTCTTGAGGAAGGAATGTGATTTTAATGTATTGGTGGGTTCCTTTTTTTGGTCAAATAAAATTGGGAAACACTGCAGTGGACCATGTAACAGCAGGGCTGGGTCCTAGAGAGAGCTGAATGTGCTGCCTGCAGCACAGTCTGAGGAAGGGGATTAGCTGCTGTGGTCTCTAGAAAGGGGAGGGAATAGGGGTAGAAGAGCAAGTCAGGCATAGGGGCACCAGTTTAATAATCCCGCCTAGGGCACCATAAATCCTAAGGGTGGCCCTGCTGGGCTCATTCCTTAATCAGTCCCAGCAGCCAGCCAATAGCTCTTTCTTTGTTCCTTGATCCCTGCCCACACTGACCTGTGTGTGGTCTTGCTGCTTTTTCAGCCAGTCAGAACACAGGCTTCTCTCATCCAGTTCCAGACAGCAACTACATGACTCTGGGCCCTGCAGTTCCTTTTATGAGAGTCTGCTGGTCCTGAATGATTGCTTCCTGCAATTACTCTAGGCCACTTGGAGGACTTATCATTTGCTTCTCTCTGGGACAGGGTGTGATAGGACCCTGAAGCTTCCAGGCCTAGTCCACTCTATTACACCCTGAATTAGAGTAATTCAAGCATGAAGGATGAATGAGGGAGTAAAAAGGCTTATTAATTGCATGATAATATGTATGTCTAGTCTTGATTAAAGGGAGCCAAAAAAGGACTCTCTGCTTTACAATTAGAGATATTAAAAAATGTTTGATGAAAACTTTATATTAAAAAGAAAACAAACCCAGACTTTTTCACAAACAAGTTTTCCATGGACCATTTAAAGTAAAAATTGCCAGTTTGCAAAAAATTGTGCGTCTAACATGTTTTCAGTTTTTTATGGAATGCTATAAAGATATTTTTGAGATGGTTATACAGGTTTTTCATTCATAGAAAACCGTGCTTTCAAATTTGCAAAGCATTCAGAAAAAATAGGGCCTATTTTGACCAGTTCAAAACAAAAACAATTTCTAAATTTTGCAGTTTCTCATGCAAATGTTTTTTTAATTTTTTTTCCACCTCCTATTATAATATAGCCATACATATTCCAAAGTTGTCAACACCTTTATGTTCAGTAGCTTGGGGCCTTTGAAATCTCAAGAATAGCCCTGGATATGTAAGTGAATATTAAGAATTTAGAAACTAACAGACAGTGACAAGAACAGAGGATTTTGTGTATTTTATTAAAATAATTTTAAAATTCTACAGCAAAAAAAGGACATGAGCATATCTAAAATATGTGCCACAGGAAAACAACCCTGCTGAATTGAATTTCCATAGCTAAGCATACATATTTAAGAAAACAAAATTATTTCTTTAATTGGTAAGAAACTGCTTCATACTTTTTGGGAAAATAGAATTAAAAAAAAGAAGCTCTGAACTATAAAATAGTGCATTCAAATAACCCATATTTTGTTCATACATAACCATGTAGTTGGGGGGTAGTTTTATTTTTGCTCTTATGTAAGAGGTTTCTCCTTTAAGAGTTCCCTGCTATCATACTTTGGGTGCAATACAGATCAGCAAGAGGCTTTGTTATCCATTTAACACTTGTTAATATGTCTGGAACTACACAGGATATGAAAAGTGGCTCCTGCATTAATTAAACAAAATGCATTTTTGCCACTGGGATAAATAGCACCTCTAACTTACAGATTTATTGGAGCATAAGCATTCGTGGGCAAAGACCCACTTCGTCTATAAGGTGCCACAGGATTTCTCGTCAGACTAACACAGCTACGCCTCTGATACCTCTAATTTAAGTCTCCTACTTCAAAGAGTATTTACAAATACAGGTTGGACCTCGATGGTCCAGCACCCTGGGGACCTGAATGGTCTTGAACGAGGGAATTTGCTAGACCAGGGGAGGTCCCTCCTCTCCTAACCCGGGTTGCCACCAGGTTAGGGCTTCAGCCTGTTCCCACTGCTGCTTCAGCACCCTCAGGCCTCTCTAGATGCCGCTGGTACCACTGGGGCAGGGGCCAGAGCACCATGGCTGGAGGTCCACAGCTGTAACAGATGCCTGGCTCTGGGATGGGGGCTTGAGCTCTGCAGCCAGGGCAGAGCTCTGCAGCCACTTGGCTCTCTAGCCAGGGCTGGAGCGCCTCAGTTGGGGAGAACTCCATAGCCACCTGGCTCCATGGCTGGGTCTGGAACTCTCTGGTTGCTGCTGGGGCCAGAACTCCTCGATGTGACACCCATTCTTCCCTACCCCTCCCCCAAATTCTGAGCTCCCGGCTCAGTCACAGTACCCCCCAGTACCTCAGCACTCCTGCCCCACTCCCAGACCTCCCTGGTCCTGGGCTCTGTGGTCCAGGAACATCTGTGGTTGGTGCCAGACCATGGATGTTACTGGAGCAGGGATTCCTAGTTAAGGGAGGTACAACCTGTGTATTGCACATGACGTGCCTTTTGTATGGCCTGACTCTCCTTGTGGTTACCATTTCCTGCATGTCCTTTAACTCTTGCCTGAACCTTTGAACATATTCAGTTACATGTTCTCCTTCTGTCTCAGAATCTCCTTCTCAACAGTTTCTGGTAAGACCTAGGCGTCCCCTCATTTTCTCTCTGTACAGAAGATCAAATGGGGGCAAACCTATACATGCGTGGGACATTTCCTTATTAGTAAACAGCAAAGATTGTAATGTGCAACATTTCATTCTAACCCTAGGCCTACCCATGGGTGTGCATCCTGAGTATTGATTTTGGTGTCCCATTGAACCTCTCCACCAGACCATTTGTATTGGTGCAGCTTTTAGTTGTTTTATCCCACACAACTTCCATAAGTCACTGAATAGCTGAGACATGTAATCTGATTTATGATCTAACAAAATCTCTTTAGGAAAACCCACTTCTGCTAAAAATAATGGAAAGAGTTTTTGCCACAGAAACAGGTTTTATGTCACCAGAGCAAGTGCATTGGGATATCTATGGCAAAATCCACTACCACCAGGATATACCACAGTCCATTGCTACTCCATAAAATGCCTCTTGTATTACAGGCAAGGGGCAGAATGGAACTTTCTGGGGTCATGCAAGTCTTTTTGGCATAATCCATTCAAAAGACCTGTAATAATCTCCCTCCTCATTCTGTATCCCTGGCCAGTAGGTTTTTTTTAGCCTCTCATAGAATTTCATGGCCCCAAGTAACCACTAAAAAGACAATCAAATTCTAGTAAGTTTAATTCCCCCCAGTGCTGAACACACACAAACAGACACTTGTAAGGTTTCCCAGGGATTTTATTTTTCCTCGTGGGAGCTTACCTGTACATTCTCCACTTCCCCTAACCACAGTGTACTCTTTGTTCATCTACAAAATAATAACAGCAGACAACTAGGAGAGATGCTTCAATAACAGGAATGAATTCCCCCTCCCCAGTCTGAGAGGAGAGGATTTTACTTTCCTTTGCTAGGCAAGAGCTGGCCTCAATCTCTTCACACCTGAAAGCATTTTGCTTCCTCTTGCTGAGCTAGAGCTGTCCCCTTCTCCCACAGATGCTTCTTTGTCTGCACAATTCTCTTCTATGGGTTACAACATTAACAGCCTTGAACTTACTAAAAATAACATTTTCCACCAGCATTGCTGTAGGGGTGCTTTTGAATATCCTAGCTTTCAAGGTATATTTCAAACCTTCCATTCCAAATCCACATTAGCTAAAGGTACATGAATTTTATATTTCTCTAATGCTAGGAGCTCTACCTGCTGGTCAGGTAACATGCCAGTTACCTGAATAGCCTTTTCTTGACCAAATTTGTATTCCAGTGTCCCTTGAGACTTCCCATTCCTTGCCACAAACACTGGAAACCTTGATAAACTCCAGGTCTGTCTCTTCAGGGTCAGGCTTCACACATATTTTTCTGTGTTAATGACAGTTACATTAACCTAAGTTGGATGGGGTATGAGTTTAGTTTATCTTAGCACAATTTCTCCTGTGCTCAATGGAGTTACATTCGTGGTACCTCCTTGGACTATTCTCCAGTACAGACTATGTATGATGAGGGTTTTCAGCAGCAGAATGATTCTAGGGAGCTAAGCACCTGAGTTCCCAACCACTCTCCTTCCCAGTTGTAAAATGGAGTCCTTTCCTTCATACCAGGCTTCTGCCCTCCTCTTCAGTGTCTTGTGCTCATTAGACATTTGGGCTTGTACAAAGGAATGAGGAAGGATCGCTACTTCCTGCAGAGAACCTAAAGATTTATCCTAATTACCTCTCAGAATATATGCTTATAAAAATACTCGAGAAAAGAGCACCAAGTATCCTAGCTCTCAGTGATGTTTCCCTTTTTCTTGTTATGTCACACATTTTTCTAGATATACTCACTATGACTCGTGACAGCACTTTTCCTGAGATTTGTAAATTTTGGACTGTACAACTTAGAGGTAATCTGAAACCTCTGCAAGGCAGCTTTTTAAAACTCAGAATATTTCAACACCTTTTCAACAAACTGTTACACGAGTGCTTAAAATGTCAAGCTCACTTAAAATATCAAAATGTATAAATCCTGCATAATTATACCACTGCCACACTTAGGGGTAAAATTGAGACCAATGTCATGTTGTATCACCACTTGTATTAAAATACTTCTGCTACTTGTGGCTTCTTGCCTGGGATACCCACAAAGATAGCATGTACTCTGTATTCTCTAAACTGTACTACTCTGACTCAACCACTCTTATATCCAGCAGCCTGCCATAAGTTAACCAAGACATACTCTTGTCTTCATCAGACTTGGTGAATATTACAAGTGATCAACTCACCTCTAGTCCTGAGCTTTCTCAAACGCATGTGCTCCAATGTCCATGGCTCTCCTGCAACATTCAGAGCCAGAAAATGTTCCTTTTCTCCTTTAATGAAACTGGAGTTAACATACATTTAAAGCAAACACAGAGCTTGGCGGGGCTAGATCAGGGGTGGGGAATCTTTTTGGGGTGAGAGGGCACTTACCCTCAGAAAAATCAGTGAGGGGCTGCACACAAATGAGAAGCAAAAAACCAAACAAACCCTCACTGATGTGACTCCTGACTGAAAAGCAGAAAGACACTCCCCACATTTTTCTTGCACACCAGAGCCTACGGGGTCCTGGCTAGTAGATTTTGTGTGCTCCAGCCCCACAGTGGAGCAGTGGGGAGGAAGGGCTGGAGTACCAGTGCAGGCTCCCCAATGCTGTGGGGGAGCCCTGAGCCTCAGGATCCAGATCCAGGCAAGCAGGGGCTGCATCTGGCTCCCAGGTCTCAGGTACCCCACCCTTGGGTTAGATTAAAAATAAAATTAGCTTATTAACAAAAGACAAGATTGTTAAGTGAGTTCAAGTATAAGAGATAAAGCTAGAAATCATTATAAGCAAATAAAGTTAAACACACACCTCTAAAAGTCTAAAATTTAATCTACCAAGGTACAGGCTTTATTCAAGATGCCTGTCCCAATTAACAGTCTTCAGGAAATATAGTGGCTGACCTCCCTCCCCACCTTTTTAATCAGGATTTCCTATAGCAGCCCAAAGTGCATGTTCCTTTGTTTTCTTAGCTGAAAGGGATATGTTGGAATCTGGTACAGTGAATATCTTAAGCGGATTATTCTGGTTACCCCTTAAAGTAATGTTTATTCAAGCAACATGGAAGATGACAGGGACTCTGGTGTTGAAGGAAGCTCCCTGCTTTTTCTTCCTCCACTAGTATACAACAAAATGTAAATTGTTTTGTTCCTTGCTATCTCCCCACTTCTCTCCCCAGTAGTCTGACTGCAGTGTTTACACATAAACTGAGGTAAACCCACATTCCGTTAATTAGGCTAGAGCTGTTTAAAACTTTTACCTGTCTAGTTTTGAACAAGTAACATCAGTTCATAACTTTACATATACTGTTGATATTGTTAGCCATGATATTAACTAAGTGATTAGCTTTCAAATGGTACCTCACAAGACATATTTTGTAGATTATTACAACACTGTGTAAAGTATAAATACAAGGGTAAATAGGGTTAACTTCCAGAGTCCCACACTCTTGGAACATAGCTTCTGCAGCCTTTGATAAAGCTCTGGTCAGAAACAGGGGTGCTTGGGACTACAAACATGATGTCCCACAGAAATCTGTGTTTGGGCTAGAATCAGAGACCTGACATACTTCTTAATTCCTTCCAAGCACTTGTGCATGTTGTCTGGACCCCCACCCTCTGCTTCCTAACTTCAAAATACAAAGGGTGAAATTCTGGCCTTACTAAAGATGAGGGAAAATAACCCCACCGATTTCAGCCCATGTAGGAGTCTGGGATTTCAGGTGCTATATCAAATAGTTTTTTGTTTAAATCTATCTTTGAGTGTGCACCAAATAAGAACTCTTCTCTTTAAATATATGTAATAGAGCTATCATGCTACAATACAACTAGGCAAGCAAACATTTTGAACAGCAGACTACATCATGGGAAAAATAAGCCCCAGAGAACTCTCTGATGTACTTCCATGCTGTAGCACTTCAAAGTAACAAGGGACATTGTGAAAGGAATACATTAAATTAAGAGGTTACACTATAAAAAAGGTTAAGAGGGTCTAGCTGAAAGCTCAGCTGCTACCTCTTAACATGGCTCACTTATCCATTAACTTTCACCCCACTGTTTTAATATTTTTGAATGCATCATTTGACTGCATTCAAATTCAACACAAACATCACATTCTTTTAGAGTGGATCCCAACAGAGTGTACTGTGCTTTTAAGAAAATATGAAACTTTAATTAGAGAGAACACCAAACTTACTGTGTCACTTCTGATATTATCTGAAAAACAGAAACCACTAGACCTGCTTGGCAACTTTTGATGTTATGTGAAAGGTATCAGAACAAATGATTTTTCCTGCATTTCAAGAGGTATTAGAATGTGGCCAAGCAAGTCAGTTGGCCCTCTCATTCAAATATGATGTGCAATTCAAAGGAAGTGAAATGTTCTTTGCTCTTCTCACAGGAACAGCACAACCTATGAAAGTGTGCAATGCTCAGGCTGAGCCCTATCACAGGTGGCAGTAAGTCCTACAGTGATTTTAGACCTCTTTCCTGTCAACTGCAGCTGTTATGATGCAAATGGGATGATAGATTGCTCTTCACATATGTAACTTGAAACTTTTGTAGATAATTAGAAGTACATACCATGATCTTGAAATGGATCTGGTAATAGCAATATAACAGAACTGGAGCCCTGCAAGAACACACCAACATGCTCTTTTTCTCTTTCCATATTCTTCACATACCCTTACTGTACATGCATCTTGTGGAAGGAACTGAGGTTCCTCTTTGTCTCCGCCCATTTTGCACATGATGTGTCACAATGTTCTGTCCTTACAATTAGAAGCACCAATTCAAAGAAGAGAGTGAGACCTGATTGTCATACTGTTTCTGGAAGTAGCTATTGCAAATTCCTCCTTGAGTTGTAGGGAATGACTTGGCTTTCCCACTACCTCCAGATTGTAGAGCCTGGCTGGACTGAACTCCTCAAGGGAAGCTTACTCACCTTGTGCAGTAACTGGAGTTCTTCAATAGTTGTCCTGATGGGTGCTCCACATTAGATGCACCAGCGCTGCTGCGCCCACGGTCCACAGATTCTTAATAGCAATGCCCTTCTGGTTGGCTTTGCACACGGAACGCTGTCATGTCACAGTTGGAACTATCACCCCATGTGCACAGTCAACTGCCTCCTCAGTTCCTTCTCTGACCTGGACATAATTGGATCTGAAGCAGAGGGGAAGAGGGTGGGTGGTGGAGTACCCACGGGGAAAACTATCTCAAAGAACTCCACTTCCCTTCTTCTTCGAGGAGTGTCCCCGTGGGTGCTCCACCTTAGGTGACTACAAAGCAGCGTCTGTGCTTGGTGGGGGTGCTTCGGTTGTGCTAGCTCAGTAGCTGCGAGAACAGTTCACCCAAAGCACGTGCCTGTATCAGCAAATGCCTAAATTGCCTAATGTTGAGTGAATATGAGTGCTGAGGCCCATGCTGTGGCTTTGTATATGTTCTCAGTTGGTATCCTGTTAAGGAAGTTGTAACTGCCATTGCTCTCATAGATTGAGTGAGCCCTTATATTGGCAGGCGGTTCCTTGTGGAATATGTTGTAAGCTAGTCATATGCACCCCAGTATCCATTTTGGTAGTCTTTGTTTGGATATGGATAACCCTCTGATCTTTCCATAGATGACACAAAGGCTACGTCTAGACTACAGGGTTCTGTCGACAGAGCCATGTAAAATATTTTATTTGGCATAGGCAAAGAAGCGGGGATTTAAATAACCCCTGCTTCATTAAAATAAAAATGGCCACCATGCTGTGCCGACGATCAGCTGATCCAGCACAGCGCGGCAATCTAGACTGCCTTTGTTGACCGCTCTGGTATGCCTCGTGAAACGAGGTTTAACAGTCAACAAAGGCTTCCTTTGTTGACTGCCCCACATCTAGACTGCCGCGCTGTGCCGGATCAGGTGATTGTCGGCACAGCATTGCGGCCATTTTTATTTTAATGTAGCAGGGATTATTTAAATCCCCACTTCTTTGACTATGCCGAATAAACTATTTTACATGGTTCCGTCGACGGAGCCACGTAGTCTAGACGTAACCAAAGAGTTGTGTTGTAGATATAAGACTATCACCCTGCAGATATCTAGTGTGTGTAGTGCCCTTTCCCTGTCATCTTTGTGTAGTTTGGGGAAGGAGACAGGTAAGTATATTGGTTCATTGTAATTAAATGAGGTAAGTACTTGTAGCCAGACAGCCCCCCCCATCTCAAACAATCTTGCTTGCCCTCTGAGATGTCTGTATACAGGGCAGAGAAGGAACAATAAGAAAATCAGCATAGCCATTAAGCTTTGATCTGCTTTGATGCGAGACCAGGATATGCGAGTTTCTCTGACTCTGAGTAACGATTAAGGAAATAAACTGAGCTCGAGGCTGCAAGAAGTGCCCGGCTGGCACCCATGTTGATTCGAACACACACAGTCCCTGGGAGAGGAATTTCCCACTGAGAAAAAGAATGTCCAGTACTTCCAATTTAATCCTCTCAACTCTCTCTTACAAGTGTAAATTAAGTTCACAACTTCCTTGTAAGAACTGGTCTCAGAAAAGACAGACCAGCACCATTTGGCATGACAGACAAGAAAGAGAAATACGTGACCCAATGGGTATAAAAGATGGGTCCATCACACACTCACTTTGAGTGTCAATCTACCATTTACTTGCTGGTCGGGTTAGGTGCTTGACCTCCCGAGGTTCCACGGGGACGCCCACCTCGTATTTTCGTCTTTCCGAGGAATTGAGGGACCGATCCTGGCCTGACACACTGGGACCGAGTGACGCAGAAAGGGGTAAAAATTGTACCTGTATGTGTCCTTTTGTTTTAGTGCATGCATAGAATAGAGCTCTTGAAAGATTAAGCTGTCATTTGGTACCATTATTTTCTATTTTCTATCTTTATTTTCTTTGTAACCATTTTTTTAAGATTATATATATATATATACACACACACACACACACACACATATATATATATATATTTGCCAGCAGTTAAGAAATAGAACAATAGCCATTGCAACCATATGATTTATAAGCTTCCTCAATAAACCTGTAACTGTTTAAGCTTTAACCTGACACCTTCAGTTGCTGTGACAGAGCCAAGCACAATTTAAAAGAACTTCAGCCAGTCATAAAGGGACAGTTATAGGAAGAGCTTGGGCGTTTGGATCTGTGTCAATCCCAGGTGACAGGGTCCACTGGGGCACTTCTCAGCCTTTCCTGGGCTGCCCGCTGCGAAGGAACTCTCCCCCCCCCCATGTTCTAGCAGCTAAAATCTGAAGTGTAAGAAGCTCTTCCTACACACTGGGGCGTCTGTTAGCCTGTTTGGCTACCCTCTGCAACGGGACCTCGGTCCTAGCAGTAAAGTCACGGACGTTAAACTCTCGGGGCTCCTTTCAGCCT